AAGAATAGTTTTTATCTTAAATGACCGTATTTTTTTCCTCGTTTTATCCTTGGGTCACTCTGTCAATTTCTTGCCTTTTTCAAAAGCCTCGTCGATAGGTAAAGCCCCGGTGCCTTTGCAGCTGGCTTTGGATTCGCCGCTAGTTTAGCAGCGCAGGCGTCTTCGTACGCTTTTAACACACCATCGTAGCGATGGCGATGTTTCAGGTGACTAATCAGGTTAGAAGTATTATAGCTCGTTGCTTTTTTCCCTCCTCGTGGAACTTCTACATTGCATTTGTTAATACAAATAGCAAGCAAACTATCTAACTCTGAAACTTTGAAATAGTCACATACTACCGACGACATGTTTGTTTACTGTCCCAGCTTCACGGCCGCACACCATTTACGTCACAGCCAGGCATGAGTTAGGGAGGGCTGGATTTGTGAAAAACTCCCCTCTTCCTAAACCACTAATACCACAGTACTGGCAAAACGGGAGGAGCCGAGTGAAAAACAAGCGCCCCTCATCCCAATCCACTCACACCGCAGTATTTTTTTCTTTTTTTTTACCCAAAAAATATATTGTATATTATCGGGGCTATTAATATTTGTATCGGGTTTATCGGGATGACGTCATAATTCCTAATATCGGACCGATAATTATCGGGCCGATAATTATCGTGCACCACTAGGAATCAACAAGCTGCTGTACTTGTGCTGATCTATGGAAAATATTTCAGCACCGAAATACACAAAGACGGTTGCAATGGTAAACATTTGACCATACGTGCGGGAACCTGTTTTCAGTAAGGGCGTCTTACCAGATTTGGAAAACAAATACATTTCCTTTAACTAAATCTGAAACATTCCTGGAAATAATAAAACAGTAGGATAAACTGATCAAAATGATTAATGTTATTATATCAACATACTTAGCAGCATCTGAGCGGCTCAAATCTGCAAAACTGATAAAAAAGTACAACAAATCTTTGTATTCAACATTTCAAATATGTTTTGTTTCAGATAATGTAGAAGTCCTCAGTATTGAGTTTCTGTTTTTCATTTCCTAACCTCCACAGGTTAATTGTGGGTGAGTTGCCACACTGTTGGACACCGAGCTCCAACAAAATAAGAAACATAGATTTAGCAGGAGAACAGTTTCCAGGCAACGTAAAAGAAAAACAGGTTATAAATTGTGCCTGGAAATGTAAAGACATGCAGGATAATACTTACTACAGGACTTTGTTCATAGAGCATAATGTGATAGTAGAATAAAAAATCTGACCGAGTAGCATTACAGATATGGGGGGGGAGATAAGCAGCTGAAATATTATTGACTTCTCTCTGCTCGTGTTTCAGTTGTTGCTCTATTGTTCCTCATGAACTACTCTGTTATAAACGGGGGTAAAAAGCTACCAAATTCATTTATTGAATTTATGTACTTAAGTACAAATTGAAGGTACTTACTTGCATTAAACTTAAGTATTATCATTTGTTGCCACTTCAAATTCTTCTCCACTACAATTCAGAGGCAAATATTTTATAGTCAATTTTAAAGCTTTAGTTTACAGTTCATCATATACAGAGTACCAATTTACTTTATATGTTTCTTTATGTGGGAATTTATGGTTTTGTGGGAGCGCCTGTGACTGAGGGGCGCATTTCAACATCTTCAATCAGCACAAGGCTAACGTGGGTTCCTCATGAATATCTCATTAGGGTCGTGTGTGGGGGATACACAGCGCATGTTAGATCCCCAGCTGTGAAAGTGTGAAGACCTCTGATTAGCCTGCTCGTTAGCCATGGTGATCCGATAGTCTGTGGGGGCCGTAAGCAACAATACCCCAGGGGCCCAATCGATCTGTTGAGCTGATGCCAGTGGACCTAGCGTTTTTATTTATATTTAAAGTCTATTTTTGCAGCAATATGCACATAAACGCAATGTTTATATATATATATCTATATAAATATAGATATATATATATATGATATATTTCAGGGTTCTATGATTATGTTACCACATAAATTGTTATGTTATTTTATTTATATTCTCATTATTTGACATTTATTTTATTGTCCTCAATGGCCCTTTTTCTCCTTATTATTTATTTTACTCATAGAAACCATTAATATTATATTTCATTTTTTTTTATCTCGTCTCATTCCTGCTGACCCACTCCTGCTGCCCAAGTGGAGTACCCTATGTGCTTAATTTTCACACCCCATCTTCCACAATAATCCCATAATTTTCTTTCTAAATGGAGCAAGCCTATAGAATAATGAAGGGAGAAACTGAGAAAACTGAGTGGGCTTGACAACCAGCTGGATGGCATATTAAAGCACACATATCCATATACTGTATCATCAAGCCAGCATCTGTTTTCGTACATGCTATATTTTCAAAGAGGATAAATGAGACAAAGAATGGCAATCAAGTTATGATGTAGGAGACCAGAGATAAAAGGGACCTGAAGAGGAAGCCTCGCAGTGACAGTATTCATAATTCATGAGCTTGTGAACACAGAAATAGGGGGATAAGCAAAGCAATTAAGAGGTGCGCTCAGGCACTGGTATTTCAAGCAGTGATAAGGATGTTTACAATGCAATGTATGCTTACCAATGCAGGATCTCCCATCGAGCAGGTAAGAGCCATTGTCATGGAAACCACTTCTGCACTCACAGTGGTACCAGCCGGGCAGGTTGACACAGCGAGAGTGATTGTGGCACTCGATCAGGCCCTCTGCACACTCGTCAATATCTGAGGAAACAAAAACACACAGCAGCGTCAGCATCAGTCCAAGTTATTTTCAGAAACTTAAACTTGAAACTTCAGCTTCTTCCTCTCTTTCTTGTTTGCCTGTCTTTTGATCAGTGTCTTTTGATCAGGTACAACAGCAGAATTTGATCAAATCAGAGCGAAAAACTGCAGCCACAACAGATGAGCTGGGTCAGCCGCTTCCCACATTACCCAACCCAAAACATCTCAGCAGCTCTGTCTGCCGCAGCAGGAATGAGAGTTTATTGGAAATCACACCATTTTACAGCAGAGTTGTTTCCTTCCTGAACTTCTCTTTTCCTTTTCCTCGCACATCCTGCTATTTCAACTCCGCTTGCTTTGTTTCTGGTGTGTGGCGTGCATACATATGACCAGCCCAGAGGCGTTAGGTCCTCGCTACTTCTCCGGGGAGCAAATCCCTCTCATCCATTATGTATGGAGTGAGCTTTGCTTCTCATATGCAGCTCTCATAAGACCTGACCTGAGCACACACCCTGATGGTTTAAGCCTGACCTTCAGTCACACCTTCATTCACCTAAAAGCAATCAATAGCAAATAGGGGAAAAGTATAAGGACCGTTTGGATAGGATTATGTTTAATGTTGTCGTTGAAGAGGGGAAAGCCCACATTTTTCAAGCAAATCGACAATTAAATGTTTAATAGTTTAACCAGCAGGCACTGGTCATGGTATGTAATGGATCCTAACAGTATTCATGTACAGTATTGTGTCAAAGCAGTACCGTATTGTGTCAAAGCAGTACCGCCAATAGTGCAAGGAAAGCAACATCTTGATAACAAACAAGTTCAAAGCTTCTAATTTCTTAACCTCCCCACGCACCCGGTTACGGGCCCGAAATCGCGTCATTTGCAGGAAACAACGTCTAAGGAACCTTCATATTTAATAAACTACGAATGATTTATATCCATATAACGGAAAAAAAATAATTTAACTGATCTTTTTCATTTTTTTTCTTAAAAAAAAACTAAAAAAAATGCTAACACTGACCCTCTGAATTAGTCCCGAGCGAAAAATGCTAACCTATTACTGCACCGAAAATCACTCCTAGCACCCTTATTACTAGGGGTGCACCGAATGGGAAATTCTTGGCCGAAACCGATACCGAAAATAGGAAACAGTTGGCCGAAAACCGAATGCCGAAATGCCGAAAATGATTAATAGAAATATATATATATATATATATATAATGTATACATTTTTTACCAATGTTGTTCAGCTACCTGATTATGGAAAAAGACATGATTATGGCAAAACTTAACTTAAATAATAATCACTATTATGGGTCCATAAAACATTTATTCAGCACTTTTGAATGCATACAGTACATTAATTCCAAGTCAAGTGCATGTTCTTTTCTCTGTAGGATAACTACAACAAAGTGCATTCAGAACAAAGCCAAGGTGCTTTAAAACTGCATAAACATCTAGGCCAGTAGGCCTACACCAAAATAGTGTAAATAAAGAGTGTAACAGCCAGGCCTTCAACAACAACAAATGCACCTATAAGTTTGTTAACCTAACGTTTTGTTGTGATGACGTAATCAAAACGCAACGACAAGCACGGCGCGCGACGATGCTCGCGGCTGGCTCACAGCCAACATGTCTGCCGCTTGGAGATATTTAAAAATATCAGAGAGAGAGGCGCGGATTGCGATTTGTAAAACGTGTTCAGCTGACATTTCTCGAGGGGGTGTAACTGCAAAGACTTTCACCACTTCGGGATTACTCCACCACTTGAAATCAAAACACCCGGACAAATATGCGGAGTATGATCAACGTCACCCTGTTCTCTGACATTCGGTGATATTTTTTCAGTGCTAAAACCCTTTCGGCCGAAAGCCGAAATGGCCTTTTTAACCATTTTCGGCCGATAATTTTCGGTGTGCGAATATTCGGTGCATCCCTACCTGAGACAGTGCAGCAAAGGGTTAATTGTTTACTGTGAAACACACTGCAGGACGTGCCTGGAGGTTTATTTATTCCCTGATAAACTTTGGGTTTCGAAGCAGTAACCACAATCAAGTAAAAGTCGAATTTTGCTTCAACAGGCCTCCCTCTGCAGAGGGAAAAATGGTGGAATGAGGTTACACACACCAGTGCACACTCTGCATAGCAATATGTGAGAGACACCCAGTTCAAGGATGTTTATCACTGTGTTTGTCAACAACATTTGAACAATGCTTTGTGGATCTTTCAGTGCAATATGTATTCAGTGGGTGAAATTTAATCTAGAAAGTTTTTCCTGGGAGTTGTTTGACATTTACAACAGACAGTTTGAGTAACACTCTTAGTGACCTACCATTAAGACTTTTAGTGTGCATAAGGCCCACATGCAGGACTCTGGTGGGATAGCATGAGATGGATTGTTTATCAATGATGCCTGTATGTTCTGGTGCGTTCAAACCGGACAGGAAGAAAAAAGGTTCGCCCAGCATTTATCATGCATTTTGCATTTCAGTTTCATCAGGCATCAGGCATGGTATTTAAAAAAAAAAAAAAAGTTAGGTTCTGGGTAAAACAAAGAAGATGCGGGTGTTGCATAATAAATATAAAAATAATGATAATTCAGTTTAATGTTTAAGTCCTCAGACCTCTCCCCCCGCGGGACCGCGCATAATCATAACCTCTGGACCGCATCAATCTGCTGCTGAGTGTGCCACATTCAAGATGGCTGAGGTGAAGGCGAGGATTCAGCATTGTCAATAACACTTCCTCAAGAGCGAAATCCAACGTCTGGGAGGCTTTTAGTGTCATCCATGGAGAAAATAACCAACATCCCACTCTTTTTGAGCCAAATATGCAACTGTGTGTGTTAATAATTGCATGTTTTCAGCTCGTAGGATATGCGGGTTCGAGACGGTTTGCGGATCTTGTGCCGACGCCGGGGTCGGGTCGGTTTGCGGTACTAATTGGCAATATGTACCGCCATGTATGGCAGGGCGGGTATTGGTATTGCACGTCGCGGGTGCAGGGCAGGAGCGGGTCTTGAAAATCAGACCCTTGCAGGACTCTGGTATGAAGTGGCATAAGCTATAGGGAGATTACCATAGAAACAAATCTAACTAACTGTTTTCAACGCAAGGATCTGCGCCAAACCTTGTGGTGAGCAAAGAGTTTATTGCGTATCATGTGAATGCAGCACATTCCTTCATCCTTTTAAACATTTTGTCTAGCTACAAGGTAATAGCATAATGTCAGCATCATTTTCACCATTTGTAGTTAAGTTAAAAGACTTTAATTTGGACTGACATCCGTGGCCAAAAACATGACTCCAAGTGAATGCTGATGTCTAAATAGGCAACTGTCTGATGATGCAATAGCTTTAAAGTGCCATTATATAAAAAAATGCAGTACTGTAGGTTAAAGGTTTCATACTGCCCCCAAGTGGCCAAAAGGCCAACTAATAAATGCAAGATTTCTTTACATTTACATGGACGATATTCACGGAAAGTGATTAGAATAATGGACGAATTGAACATCTATGGTTGCATGACAACTGAGTAAAACCTCCATGTTGATGTGAATCATTTAGAATGTAACTCTGGCTGGTAAATGTGGTATCTTAAAATGGAAATGTGTTGCAGACACCTGGTTAATACAGTAAATGTAAAAAGACAGCCGGTATTTCCAGTTGTTTGATTATGCAAGGTAGGCCCATCTTATTGATTTACCTTGTGATTTCCCTTTTTTTTTCTTTTTTCGAGTGATGATTATTAGTTTTTTGCTAAAAACGATTTACATAAATAACAAACACTGAGAGAGGAGTGCAGATGCTGTGTGCTATGGAATTACATGAAAGAATAATGATGAAAGACATCAAGCCCTAATGAGACATCTGGAATTGCATATAAAATAGCAACCTGGTGGATTCCTTTACTCCCTGGGAAATTGGCGCTTGTCCTTGACGCCTTGTGCTTTGCCGACAGGTTTGATGCTGTGATTTGGTTGCCAAATGAGAAGATTTGTTTTCTCTCTCTTTTTGGGCAGTTTTTGATATTTTGCCTATTAATTCTTCAATGAGTAGAGAAATATCATCAGGCAGCATCAGACCACACTGTGATGCTGCACTGTGAACACAAACTTTAATTTACATGTCATCATGAAATACATTGGCAATGAGATTTGTTGCAGCCGAAGACTGGGACACCCACTGTGGGATTGGCTCTTATACAGCTGGCTGTAGAGGACTAGGAACCAACAATTGTCTTCACATGATCGATTGTGGATGCCAGGCTTATACTCTGTGTTGCTTATTTATGGAAACTAAAACTGACAGCAAGCAACAGCGTTAGAGCTCCTCAAAGGCCTCTCCTGCAATCTGGCAAAGATTAAATATCAGTTTAAAGTTCAATTAAGCTTGATTTTCAATCCGACTCGAACCAAAACTTGTCTCACAGGAGTTTAGCGGGCAGTCAATTAATTATCAAAAAGGTCTTGCAGATGAAAACTGCTCCTCTGATGAAAGTGTGGCTTCAATAGATCGGCCAAAATCATTGAACCCTTTCTGCCCGTCTATTTAACTGGATCAAGATATCTAGCTCCAGGTTGAATTGCTATAAAATGAGGTATTGACATTCATGGTCCCCAAAGGATAATCCCTACACAGACCAGTTATGAAATAACCAATGTCAATGAAATAAATTATAATAACGCATAGATGTTTCATTTTCTAATATAGCTTGATTAAGTATAATAACTTACAAATAATGTCATACAACTTACTGAACTGATAGTGTCATATCTCACAATGGCGCATAATGTAATGAGTTATTACATTATTAACTGATTCTTTTTTGTTTGTTTAAGTTGACTTTTGAGGAAAGGTTGGTATAAAAAATAGCCGATGCCTTCCTGTCATTGGTCAATCTGAACGCTTTTAAAACACATTCTATAGATATCCTTTGGCCTGTCTCTGATGTATTTTTTTAACAGCAATATGCTGCCACTGTTGGAAAATGTCCAAGACAATAACATTTCCACTGACATTTCTCAGAGCAATATTGAATAGAATACTTCTTCATTGCTTTAAAATTCACAACACAGTATAGTAAACATTGCGATAGTTTGTAATGTGAGCGATTAAGCAGCCAAAGCATTTAATTATTAACTGAAATCAAGAAGTACAAGCTGTATACTGTATTATTCTACTCTTTTCCTTCCGACTATCTTCTGTAAATCCTACAATGGTATTAAAAGCTTTTCTGTCATTGGTGCCTCTTGGTGTGAAATTATTTAACTCCATTCCCCAGGATCTTACATCATAAAAGATGTGGTCCTGCTGATTATCATTTCCAAAAATCCGGTCCAAAATCCCTTCTCTAATACCTCTGTTTTTGGTCTCAACCACCTCGTAAGGGAAATATCTGACTATCAGGATAATACCCAACTTTGTTTACCAGCTGGAAGCTAACTATATCTGCCTGCTGCTAAGAAAGCTGCCCTCTATTGGTATTATTAAAATATGATAGCTATTTTAAGATTTATTTTCATTTGTTTCAATATCTACAGTAGTACACAGATTGGTAGGTGTTACATAACTTTTTAAGAAAATGTAATTTCTCCGATAACACAAACGAACAAGTTAACGGTAAACTCTGTAGACAATTTATGCTTCCTTTGAAGTATGTTCTCATAAATACACCATCTTAAACAACAGTTAAATACATGATTAATGTGAGAGGTATTTCAACAAAAAAGGGTGCTAAACGAAAATTAATGAGTCCTGTTAGTTATCACGTTGGCTGTACTGATAAGAAAGAAACAGGGCCCGAATTGGTAATTTATGGAAGTGCTGGAACAATGCTGCTTGGTCAGCATTCCCATTTCCATTTCATCAATAGAGTGCCACACATATTTTACACTGCGATTTGTTCATTAAGATGAGAATGGGCTGCAGCTTTCATGAGGTAAGTACCCACTTCAAAGCATCTGGAGACACATTTGATGAACAACAAAGATAAACATACAACTTCCAGAGCAGTTTTAGTTGCACTGAAAACACTGGATAAAATATATATATTTTTTTTTTTTATATGGAGATTTTTTGTTTTATATTTTATGTATGCACCATGACATCAAGTCAAATTCCTCGTACGTGTGAACCTACCTGGCAATAAACCCGTTTCTGATTCTGATTCTGATTTGGTGCTATCATTTGTATGCCTGGTTAACTGCAGACTGCTAAACAGAGTTGAGGCTTTGAAGCTCCTTCACTTTCACTTTACATGCACTTGTATGCACATTTATCAAGTTCATTTTTGAATATTTCTGATTTCATAGCCTAGCCTAGCCTTACTGTGGTATTGTATTTATCCTTTCAATAACGAAGCCTCCTCAAGAATCAGTGGATTTAACCCTGTAAGGCCCCCGGTTTTAATTGTACAACACTACTTTAAGCTATCCTAAAAAAGACTACATTTACATAGTCAATAGTTCCTTTTGTTCAGCCTCACAATGCTATTGGGTAATAAATGTGTTTATAGGTCCTGCCCTCTGGCCATACACTCACACAACCTCCGAATCTTCAAACGAGCAACATCTCTTTGTTTTATTGGACTGGATTTGTCAGATTCAAGTAAGTAAAAGGTTTTTTGGCATTATGACAATGTCTAGAACATGTACATATTCAGTTTTTGTGGAATACATTCATCACATTTGCAGCTTATGTCTTTTGTTGCAATATTACATACCTGGGTCAGTGTGGTAGTCAAAATAGCATGAGCCCCTGTTATGGAGATTGCCCTACTTATATGTTCACACAAATAGAAATATAATGTCTTTGATAATTCACTATAACTAAGTTATAAATGTGTCCTCTGTTAAGATGTTGAATTAAGACCAGAATTGAATACATGTACAGTTGCAAGAAAAAGTATTTTTACCCTTTGGAACTACCTGGATTTCTGCATAAATTGGTCATAAAATGTGTTATGATCTTCATCTAAGTCACAACAATAGACAAACACAGTCTGCTTAAGCTAAAACCACACAAACAATGATATGTTTTTATGTTTTTATTGAACACACCATGTAAACATTCACAGTGCAGGGTGGAAAAAGTATGTGAACCCTTGGATTTAATAACTGGTTGACCCTCCTTTGGCAGCAAACGTTTCCTATAGTTGCATATCAGACCTGCACAACGGTCAGGAGGAATTTTGGACCATTCCTCTTTACAAAACTGTTTCAGTTCAGCAATATTCTTGGGATGTCTGGTGTGAATCTCTCTCTTGAGGTCATGCCACAGCATCTCAATTGGGTTGAGGTCAGGACTCTGACTGGGCCACTGCAGAAGGCGTATTTTCTTCTGTTGAAGCCATTCTGTTGTTTATTTACTTCTGTGCTTTGGGTCGTTGTCCTGTTAATAATAATAATAATAATGGCTTTAATTTATAAAGCACTTCATATTTGCATTCAAATCCCGAAGTGCTAACATCGTAAAAAGAATAATAAGCAATAAATAAAAATAAATAAGTAAAAAGAATAAAATAAGATAAAAGGGTGATCATAAGTAAATAAAAGGTCTAGGGAAAGGCTCTATTGAAGAGGTGGGTTTTGAGGCCTTTTTTAAAAAACCTCCACGATGGGTTAACATGGAGTCCGCCTAGTTTGGGATGGAGGAGACCGGTCGGGGAACGGAAGTGGGTGTGAGTGATGGACCGGACCTCCTCTATGTCCGCACCTAACTTCGGATCTTGAAGGACTGAGTTGTCGAGGATTCTGGCTTCGGGCCTAATTCAAACCGTGGGGTGTAGTCCAAGTCAGTAGGTGTAGTGTGGTAGTGGAAGAGGCGGTGCCTGTAATGGGAGAGGAGTTGTCAGTGGTTGAAACCCGACACTTTTTACGCTGCGGGTAGACTGGAAACTCCCGCGGGTGTAATTTGTCGACGACGTTTTTGAGGAAGATAGTGGAAGTCCTTGTCAGCGGTTGAGGCCGGGAGTGAGTGAGACAGACTGCGCCTTCTTCCGATCCAGGTGCGGAAAACAGAGAGTTCCCGACGCTGAATGAAACGGTTACGGGCGACTAGAGCCTAGGGATTCTTTCGTGAGGTTCTCCGAGGTCATGTAGTCTTGTCGCCGAAACGGAATCCGTAGGACTACCTCCGCACGGGTTTATAACTAGTATAGTGGGGTAGGACTTTATGTGATGTGACCGAGGGGCACCCTTAACTCCGAGCGTTAAGTCCAGAGGCAGGAGTGTGTGTCACATAGATAACGCCGATGTCGGGGAAAGGTATGAGTTCCTTGAGGAGTGGGGGAATGGAGGCAACGCCTGGTGGGTTGAGGTCGTTGAGTTTGGGGAGTTTGGGGGCTCCCTGATTCGAGGCGATGGTAACCCCTCGCGCGCGGAAAAACGAGCCGACGCAGACACCCTTGCGAGGAGGGGGCTGTGTACGTCC